CTCAAACAACTGTATGCAAAAGTATAAAAAATTAAAATTAAAAAATGCACCGAACTTGTACAAATAGAGTACTACTGAATGCCTTGATGCATTTTTAATGATTTCTAATGCCAAGTATATGTTGAAATCAAATTCTAAATAATTTCCATTCCTAAATGGGCAGGTGTTTCTTTCTCGTTCGTTATTCATCGAAAAAATAAATAAATACTACGTGCATTATAGCAAATTAATATTCTGATTTTGATGTTGTACAATGTTATTAACTCGATTTTTTTCTGCGAGTCTTTTGTTCTCTGGGGATGATAGGAACGATTAACTCTATGATGCAAAACAAAATCCCATGTGCAGATATAATCAACATGAATATATTTTTAAAAAATCATAAGAATATATTTATACCTATATCTGGATTATTTCATTTTATTGTTTTTCTTCTTATCATAGTGGTGAAAGATTAATTAAAGGGTTACTTAAAAGTGACTTTTTCCTTTCGAAATTATCATTAGACAAGATGGAGAAAACCCAATTTCAAAATCATAAAAGGGTAAGTGATGTTACTTCCTACACTGAAGAGATTTGCCTATGGATCTTACTTTCATACAGTTTTAATCAAAGAATAGTATTATACTCTAACATGAGTTATCAGTAGGGGCAACATACACTAGGGGAGTGATTACGCTCTCCTCATCAGTACCAAAACCCTCACTTCTTCAGTCACACAAATGTATATTAAAATGTATAAATTATTACTACCAATAATGACGATGCTAATGACAATGTAAACATTAAAATAAAATAAAATAAAATAAGTTGGTAGATGTAGCTATTACGATGCTGTAGGAAGCAAATTAAATCAATGAAAAGATGGTGCACGATTCTACAGCATCTTCAACACCTTGAATAGTGTTTCATGATTCCATAGAATTTTGGCTCCAAAATCATTGAATAACAAATTAGTGAACTGTATTCAACTTTTGATGTTATATTCATCCATATATATATATATATATATATATATTTATATAAATGCAACTTGCAACGAAGTAATTGGTGCCTAAGTTTTTGTTTTCCAAAGAATTTATCATTATTATTATTTTTGAATGTGATTGCACTTCCAATGGTTGTGACCATTTCTGAAATTAATCTTCACTTTTTTATTTGGAAGCCATTTATTCTTCTTATTGTCTCTCATTATGTATAATCAAATTGAAAATTTTAAACAGTGAAAACTGTTAAGGTACATTATTCTACAATATCACTGTTGAGCCTGAGAATCAAAAAGAATAACTATTAGAAATACCTTTTATATGAAATGAACAAAATATCTTTTAGCATTGATATTTTTATATTAAGTATAATTGTTGACCAAAACACAAAGCATACATTTTCTACATCTTCATTCTATTTAACTCAGTATGTATGTATGTATGTATATATATATATATATATATAGATAAAAATATTACAAATAAATAATTTAGCAATAAATATGATAAAACTTAAAATATTCATACATATGGTTGATTTTATCTTATTTTAATAATCATGAACTCACTTAACATTTAGTTTTCTTTATCAATCTATATTTAAATTATGAAATTTGTTAATACATGATACAAAATTACTTTGATACACTTATTTTTACAAGATTTAAAGAGTAGCTATGTCAATTTTGAAGCCAATACACTAAATCTAGAAATTATGGTATTATATAATCAAATGACCATATATATTTTTATACTTTTTATACTTTTTATAAAAAGATATAATGAATCAATCAACCAACACAACCATACAAGCAAAGCAAATATGGCAAAATGCTATGACCATGAAGTCATAAAACAAAAGAACAAGAGCCATCACCACCAATGTCCAAATCTCATGTTCATCATCAACTCCCTTTTATTTATTTATTTACTTATTTTTGTGTATTCTGTTTGAATTTCCTCCACACACTCACCTCATGTTGTTATTAGAAATGGGGTTACAAAAACTTGTTCAAATTGATGAATGGTTCAATATATTATTTTTTCATCCATCCATTATCTTATTTCTAAATATGGAAGCATAGGAGAATAAGTCTAATTGAGGTAGTAAATCCCCAAATAGTGTGACTATCTCTCTATGTGTGTGCATATATATATATATATATATATATTTAATTAGTCCCACATTCACATAAACATATTGATGAAATGTAAGTGATTAGGTAAGGATTAGGGCACCTGAGGAGGAATAGCCAAGGGGAAAGGAAATCAAAAGCAATAGGAACAAGGGACATGATAAGTGGATGAGTTGATATAAGTGCCCCCTTTATCACTTCCTTACACACATAATAAACTAATACAAAAAAATCAGCTTAAAATTGAATTATATAAATCAATTCAATCCACCTACCAATTTACACAAATGATGGGGTGAGGAGTTCAAAGAGAGGGGCAAAGAGGTTTGGGTGGGTAGATAGATGGATGGATGGATGGATGGATGACATCCAATTAGGTTTTCATCCCATTACAACATACTTTCATCCAAAAGTGTGTTCATTCGTTGTTATTATCATTTGTTGATGTGACTATTATTGTTTACGTTCCCACTTACTCTACATCCTTCATTTTGACCCTTTTTTATTGAATCATGTGGCCTCAAATCCTTCAGTTCTAACAAGTATTGGATCAATTATTCATCCGCGTAGCCACATCCATCTATTTTTCTCATCCAATGAGCCCATAAATCCAATGGCATGGTGTGTAGATGCCCATTCCAACAACTTTTAAAGACTCTTCCAAACATAAAAATTAGAATTGATTGGGTTTAGGGAAAGAAAATTGGGCTTGGAAAGTTTCCATTCTTATTCGTCCTTTCTTATAATAGTAACTTAAAATGTGCCTTGAATCATGCAATTTTCCTAAATTGCTTTCATTTAATGGTGTGATTTAAGACAAACCCATTTTGGAACCAACTTGTACTATCAATCATTCAATGAATAGTGGCACATTTTCCAAGTGTTGATGGACGTACCCATGTAGTTGAAATAAACTAATTCAGCGCCAGTTTACTCATGTGGGTCTAATGGTGATGCTTAAAATATGGTGCTCTAATCAGGTCACACATTAATACATACAAACATGCATGTAGAAACATATATATATATATATATATGTAATGAATGAGTGAATGAATGATGCTCAGAAATACTTGTATCTGTATTTAATTTACTGAATATGAAGTATAGTAATATTTATAACTTTATTGTCCAGCAGAAATAAAATAAAAAAAACTATTTTGTGCAAAGAAATTGTTTTGTTCAAATAAATACGTGCAAAGAAAAATCTCTATGTGGCATTAGATGCATGTACTTTAAAAGACTTGTTCATTACATTCAGAAACATTTACTATTGGTATATTAAGAAGCTATTATGATAATTGTTTTACTATGTTAGTTTGTGTGTCAATCATAACATTCATTGTTAATCAAAATTCATCAAGACTATATTTCTCTCAAAGCACATGAACTATACTTTGAAGAGTCGAAAATTAATGTATTTCATAAAAAGGCTCAAAGAGTGAAAAAGTCAGCCTGTACATTCAGAATTCGAAATTCTATTGGCATCTTCATATTTAATCTTTAAAAAGTGATATATACAATTACAAAAGTGTAACCATATTTATTACTTAAATTTAAAAGTAAAGTACATACGCTTAAGTATATTTGATTAAAATAAATATATATTGAAATGTCGACATCATTTGGATTTAGTGTAAAAATATATATATATATATATATATATTTCATTAATATAAATTTTTATGATTCTAAAATTATTTAAAAGTATAAATTTGTACTTTCGTCTTAAAATCTTACAAATAATTAACAAAGATTTGATATTGTTGTGTATCATGTTTTCTGCGTTTAATTTCACCTTTATAAATTGTAAAAATAAATAAATAAATCAAATCAAATCAGAATATTGCAATATATATTTCTATATTAAAATTAAAAAGTTAATTTAATATTTTAAAAAATATTACATGTTTACGAAGGATAAACTGAAAAAAATTATACTTCAAGCTGGACTTCAACACCTATTTGGCAAACATTATGATTTTTCAATTTTTTTTTATTGTTAGCGCAGTATTTCTTTCTGTAAACTGCATGGTATTATTCAAGCAATTCTTCATCTAAAAAATAAAAAATTAAACCTAAAACTTTGGTTTTTATTTCAATTAAACTTGTAAAATGTAGATTTTAAAGAAACTTGGCGTTGTAATAAATAACCTCATCATTTTCATACGACAAACAATACCAACAACAAATGATACACCATAACAGCAACACCACTTACATCAAAGTCATAAAAAGAGACAAAATCAAGAAAAAAACACAGATGGAAACACACCAGTTCTGAACCCAACCTGGCAAGCAGTTAAAATACAGGAACAAAGTACAAGGCACCAAGTGTAACCAAACTTGTGGAACGGAGACAAAAGGGGCTATTGGAGGGAAAGCCTACTCCACTTCACTCCACTCAACTCCTCCAACCATACCCACACAAACAAACTCACACACTTAGACACACAGAATACAACCAAAACAATGCTCACAGTTGTATAGTTTGTGGGTGGAGAAGCGGAAGTGGGTGTGGAGGGTGGATGTGTGAGAAAGGAGTGAGTAAGTTAGAGGGTGTCAAAGGGAGCCCCCAAAAGCAATAGGGTAGAGAAGAGAGAGTGGGGGCATTCATTCATTCAGAGAGGGAGGGGCTATTACTCAGGCAGGGGCTGTCTGTCTGACTGTCTTCGCCCCTGCGCGCCTTCACGAGCGCTTACAGAAGTAGGCTCCGACAGGAGCACAACTGCAGTCATCGGGTCGCACGATGCCAGATTCGGGATCCGACGGCTACTAGACACTCGCCGATTATTATAATCGCGGTTTAATGGATCGGCATGGTGGTCCGAGGAAGGGAGGGAGTGAGGAGGCGTTGGGCATCGGCTTCGCTACTACTCTGCACTGCTCGTCCCCCACCTACCCCCCCCCCCTACTCCCCCTGGATCTCTCTCTCCACCTCGCGGTTCCTGGTACCTCTGGTGCTATAAACTCAACTTGAATCTCACATTCGCTCATGTTGGCTAGTCTCTCACCTGTAACTTGCCATGGTGTGATGCAGCTGGTTGATCGGTTGGGTTGTGTGTGCATTCATACCATTAGGGGTTTTATAAGATCAGTGCAGTGCGTATTAAGGGTTTGGTTTGATCGTGGTTGGTAGTGGTCGTCTTTTCGCTCAGGTGGGAGGTTTGCAGGAGGTGTAGGAAAGGGGAGCTGGTGGTGAGAGTGAAGTTGAGGATTAGCAGGAGGCAGAGGAGGAGGACGAGAATGAGATGAGCAGGATGGGTAATGAATGCGCCCGGAGAAGGGACGAGGGAGATGTGGGGTGAGAGAGAGAGAGAGAGAGAGGAGGGTGATAGAGGAGGTGGTGCGTGGATGAGGTGGTGATGAAGTGCGAGGTGAGAGGGTGGTGCCGGGTATGTGTTCATGGCCGGGTTGGAAGATGTTGGACAACGGCCCTCGAGCAACCCAGCTTCTGACGACGAGCAGAGTGGGAGCAGTGGGGGAGGGAGGAAACGAGGAAAGCAACCAGCTTTGAGTAATCAGCTTGCAGTTCTGGAATCGGCTCGGAAACCCCGAGGACGACCGCCGGGTTCGAAAAACAAGCCCAAGCCTCCCATTATTATCACGCGAGAGAATGGGCAGGCGATGCGGCCTCACATCCTGGAGATTGCGGGCGGGTGCGACGTGGGTGACTCCGTGGCGTCGTTCTCCCGGCGACGCCAGCGAGGGGTTCATGTGCTGGGCGCCAGTGGAATCGTCTCGAATGTTACGCTGCGCCAGCCCACGACGCCTGGTGCAACTGTCACGTTTCATGGGCGATTTGAGATAATCTCCCTCTCCGGCGCATTTCTACCTCATCTAACTTCACAGCCCACCACGGGGCTCACTGTGACTCTCGCTGGGGCTGCGGGACAAGTTCTTGGGGGGAGTGTAGTTGGCACACTCATGGCAGCGGGACCTGTGCTCGTGATTGCGGCGTCGTTCCTAGGCCCGACTTACGAACGGCTACCGCTAGACCCTGACGATGAAGGTCCAAGTGGAGGGTTAATAATCGGAGGTGGAAGCTCCAACCAGCCCCCTCCGTTAGCTATCCAGGCCCCAGGGCTGAATTATCCCGGGGGTTTGCAGTCGCTCTACAACATTGTCACGGCACAGAACCCCAACCTGAGCAACCAGCATCAACAATTGTCCACACAGGACGTGTTGAGCCAGTGGGCACCTTCGGGGGGCGGAGGTGGAAGTGGCCAGCAGCATGGTCATAGTCATCATCAGCGCGGTCAGTACTCATGAAGCTAGCTGCCAAAGTCACCAGACTTCTTTGCTATTGCGGCAAGGGCGGACTGGGTCCCATTATACACTGGAAGTGACTCTCCACGCCCAAGTGCTGGCGGTGTTTCGTCGGATAAGAGGCAGTTCTCTAACTCTTTTGTTGAGTTAATAGCCAATACTTATGCACTCGGACGATAACAATTTGGTAGGCGATTAAATCATCCGCTGCTCAGAGGCATCACAGGATTCTTTACCATTACTAGTGCAATAGATCAACGATGTGTTCCATCGGAATGATTTGAGATGCCACAATTGACCTCCCGGAAACTAAGCCGTGACAGCTAGTTCCGTCGCTTACTCTGATTCTCTTCAATGCGTGCTATTGTACTGGTGGTGAAGAGGTGCATGAAGAGACTGCTCCTTTGGCTTGCGTGTAGGTCTAATTTTTTGCTAGTCTGTGCAGGCACGGCTGTTATCTTAGTCTTTTCATTCAGAAAAAAAAAACACCAAACTTTAGCCGCACCCCTTTGTTGTTAATTCATACTGTGAGCATTTTGATAAATTCTCTACCATTTATTCTTTCTATCAGTTTTTCCGGGATCAGCCTTGTCTGCTTCTCAATTGTAGTGGACAGCGTGTCTTAGTGCAATATTTTCAGAACTTAAATGTGACCAGGGGAGAGTTAATTTGTTTCAGTGTTTCTTCTCTTTGTGGTCGTAGTTTTCATCGGTCTTTGGCTCTCTGCCGTAGATTTTGAGACGTAGATAGCCGAACTACATGTGCAGATAACCGTTGGAAGTATTTTAAGGTCCTGCTCCCATTCATTTCAAGGTTAACTCAGAAGTGTTGTAGGATTGCCTGCCCGAGGCGTTAGTTCTTTCTAAGAGTGAGAGGTGTCGAAAATTTTCCTAGAGCACTTCTTGTTTTCATGGGATCTGGGACCAGCTAGTTCGCCACTGTATTCATGTAAATGGCAGGCAACTTAATATGAAAAGACGATTTAATGGATAGGTGTATCATAATCATTTCCCTTTGTGATTGTGTTTTAAAAAATAAATTTATGAAATGGTAAAAGGTCACAAATGAGCGTTCTAAAGTGAGACCAATTTTGCAATTTGGTGTGCACTGCTCTAACCAGCAAACACCATTTCTTGTTGTGTCAGTGGTTTATATTCTGGAATTTGGTTTTATGCTATCAGATGCAGAGAACGGATTCCGGTGGGTGATCAATATTTGGTTTGAAGTGACGTGACCAATATCTGAGATCTCTGGTTGGGAGTTAGTGGCCCGGCAGCTGCGTACGTTAGGTCTTGGTATTCATTGATAATGTCACACATTGTTCCAACTCCATCTGTGAGTGCAATTTCCAACATCTGAAACAAAAGTTGAGGTCCCTTGTAACCTTTGACTTGGCACCACTTTGTCATTGGCAATCGCATAGCAGGAAGGAGTGGCACGTACGCTCTGTTTGTAGTAGTGACCAAGCAATGATTCTCAGTCCCTAATGCAAATCGAGAGTCCCACATGTCAGCTGAGTATTACAATTGCTAGCAGTATGACCTAGACTCGGTGGTTAGTTACCGAATTCGATCAACTTTGCCAGGTAACTTTCTTCGTTGTCTTTTGGTACTGAATGTAGTAGCTACGAGTGTAGTAACTGATTGCTTGAATGCAACTAATGTGATGATGAGCGCCTCTCATGCCCTACTGAAACATTTGTGATAAGTTGTATGCTTGTGGGTCCAATAGTCTGTGATGTTGTAGAAGTGGATTACTTTGAAATCGAGCAATCAGTTCAGACTGTCTTTCTTCCAACGGGATCGTTTTGAGATCTGGGAATTGTGCTGCTAATGTCGCACATTGTCTGATCTTTTCAGATGCACCTACCCATTCTCGCAAGTTTTTCTACTCATCTGCAATGGCACCTCTGCTTTTGAATAAAGACTTCGCTGCCGAACCGTAGTGCATGTCACTGAGGGGCGAATCTGAGCATTAAATACAATTCCAATGCCTAAAACCTTTATGCAACTGAAGACGTGTTTTCTGGCAGAGGCTATTCCCATATCCCAGTGTCTTACAGAATATGTAGCGGATCTCATGGAGGAAATTGGTACAGCAAGTCAAGGTACAATGTCTCATGCGGATGTTTGACATGCGTGTACTTCTCTGTCGTTCCTGAGTAATGTATCGTTTTGCTGTCCACTGAGTGATCTATGGGTTCTTTGACCAGGTGTTTGCCTTGCAGGTCACTGCTAGATCATATTAAAACTTGTCATGATTCCCCGAGGTACTAACCTTAATTGCTCCCAAGTTTTTCTCGGTTGTGAGCTGCGCCTATTACTCTAGTGAAGACATGAGTGATTACTCTGATATATTCCGACAGGAAATGCACGTCGTTTTATCCAACGACTATGTTATCACAAGCCACGACACTCTTGAATAGCCGTCTCATCAGATCTCACCTGACATCGTCGTATGCATGCCTAGATCACCCAAGTTCATTGTAAAGGCCAGATCCAGCCCTTGGCTTGTATTTCCTAACGGACTCCTTGCGATTCGCTCCAACAAAGTGGGGGCAAGGGTAACGGAGGGCTTATCCTTCAACTCCTTTTCTAAGTTTAAAAAAATATATATGTATTTCAGGTGCAATTAGAACACTTCTGTGAACCTTCTACAATACTCTTTTGTCGCTTTCATGCCAAATTTTGAAGTTCTTAAAACGTATTAAGCTTGGTTTCGTCTTTGCAGAAGAAAGTTCGAAGGGACGGACTCATGGTCCACAGCAGCATCATCTAGGGTTCGCTACTGCCAATTATAACCCTGGAATGGAGGTGTTCACTATGCGGACCTGTTTCGTCGTTCTCGAACGACTTTTAGAAATCAATCTCGCAGTGAAATTCTTCCGTGTCTTGGGGCACCTCCTCTTGGAAACCATGCTCTGTAATAACTGCCTTTATCACCTATCGTGCGCCTGCTGCAATGGATAACATTACCGTAAAACACTTGATATGCACCCTACAGAATTTACCTAATTTAACTGTTGTCTTAATCAACTCATCTGGACCCACCCACGAACAGGCCATTCCTCCGGGCCTCTGCAGTGGTGGCCGAACTTCTGATTAATATATTCTTCCTTCGACCTGGAAGTCTGGCTAAATCTCACTAGTCACCACCCAGAAAAAGGTTTTACTTCGGTGGTAAAATCCTTGTTCTAACTCCAAGTCGGCTCTCTATGACGCACCCACATTGACTGTGAGTCAAGAGAACACTTTACTGCAATCCGGCAAAACAATCGTAATCAAACTGCCTCTTATAAAGAAGTTTTGGATCCTTCTCGTCGAGGAGGATCTGACTTTCTCAACAGGTGGACAGGTTCAGACTAGATCACACCCTGGCCCAATCCCCTTCGAAACATGACCTTAACAAACACAGATATATATCAATCTCCGCAGACTGATCAGGGTCTCTGATTCTGACCCAACCTTGAATTGAACCACTTAAATTAAAATGGCTTGTTCAATTGGCTTCAGGATGACACTGCACCCCTTTCAATCGGTAGTAATGAGGCCGCTTTCATTACCAACACGACATCAGGACGTTGCATCCGGTGTCCACTGCTTGCTGTCCTCAAATTTTGAACCCCAGGGACTGTTACGTTAGGGATTAATCATATAATACACTTCCGGTGCATATTACATTATCGATCACATAATTCAACGGTCAAACCCGACATGGTTTGATTTTGAAGGGGTTATCTACACCTATACCTTTCGTTGTAACTGACCACATCGAAACTTGGAATTCAAAATGGATTCAAGTATGTGTGACACAAATAGTGTACTAAATTATTCGAATTCTATATACTTATGTACTAAACAATAATAAGTGTAAAAATATATATATATTGTAAACTCTGTTGCCAGTTACGTTGCGCAAGGATGGGAATGTCATGTAGAAAGCAGGAACGTTTGAAATGAAGCTTTACTATTTTACCTTTCCCTGTAATCGGCAAGTTTTACTGCTCGTCTCTTCAACAAAGTATAAATTCGGGGCTCAGTTCAAAATCCAACCCGGAAAGCAAGCCATGCAGTTGTTTATAATTTCAGCCTCTTCGGGAGAGGCTCCGGCCCCACCAGGGCAGCTGCGGCGACCAACGAGCACTAATGAGTCATGCTTTACGCCGTTACAGTCGAGGTCCATGCACTGCACGCTTGGAATTACCAGCTACTTTTGCAGCTTGGAAAAGCGCCAGGAAATGGGTTTGAAAGCGGCCTCCGGATTCTCATGCCCGACGGCTCTCCGCCTGTTCTTCAGCACATCTACCGCCTGGGTCTCGCATTCTGCTAGCGCAACCCGCCGCCGCTGTTGCGTCCAGTATTTAAGCCTGCCGTTGTGAACGTCTCACGATCAATATTTTAATTGGGTGCGCTCACCCAATTCCTAATGTAAATTCTGGCCTGATTGGCTTAGCAAGCCCAGTAATGTAACCGTTCTACCTTAATGTAATGTTTTAAGGCGTAAGCGGAAGATAATATGCACGTATTGATCTTAAGGTCGTTCACCATGAGTGTTGACTTGTTTATCCATACTGAACCAAAGACATCATTACTTCATTTAGGATTTTATTACAAAAATTGGACTGATGAAATATTGATATCCACAGTAGCATTGTGGTTTAGTGACAGGTGAAAAGGTTACATGAATGACCAAAAGGGTCGAGGGCTACTTAAGAATATGATCCGTGGTAAAAAAGGAGGCCCAAAACTGTTACATTCTTACTTCCTAGAGGGACAACCCATCAAGAGTACAGGAGAAGCATGGAGAGGATAAAATTTCTCCCCCGCTCCGTCGAAGAGAATGATGACTAACTTTTATACAATGGTCAAATGAAGAAAAATCTACATCCAGCACGGTTCTTTTTATCGCCTTGGCATCAGCTCTCTGAACCTTTTAATTTACGTGCTCGTTTATGGTAGGGCGGCGATGTTGGTGTCTCCTGAAACCTGGCTGGAGCCTAGAAATTTCAAAACAAATCAGTGAAAAATTGGAAAGCCACAGTAACACAAGGTGTGATTTGATTCAAGCTTCATTAAAAGTAACCAGTTTTAGGATACACCAGACAGAGCCAGGTCAAAAATATCATGAAATTCATCGGTAATTATCTCCCGATGACAATACAACGGGTAAACTAGAGGTGAGTTAAATTAAGGCATAAAATTTGAGGGAACAAAAAAGCTTTAGAGGCAAGAATAGGACAAGAACACTTACTTTTCGCTTGTGTTCACGCTTCCCCACGCGTTCACCTGCCATGTGCGATCCAAATCGGTTACAAGAGAGAAAATTACTGGACACAGCGGTTGATAAGAAAAAGATACTTTTGAGAACAGACTATTACACGAACTATGCCTTACTCTACCTGCAGCTACTGGACATGACAGAAATGCAATCAAATAAAACACGATTATCTTACCACACTATATTTATGCACTGCGATCGTGGAGGGCAAAGCAAATGAAAAAAAAGGGCAGGTAAAAGAGGAATGAAGGGCTGGATGCAGGATTTACCACTGCTAGGAAAGCCCTCAAATTCTGCACCAGCGGCGGTTGCACGTGTTGAAACACGTTCATTTTCAAGTCCACGATGGGATCTCTGGATTCACTCATGCGTAAGATAATCAAATAAACATATGATCTTAGCCAGTCGTGAAATACAACCTCAACAATATGCTTTATAATTAGAGATCAAACATCTTTGGTTGATTAGCACGTTTCTGTGAAAGAAAATAGTTCAAGTAAAGCAAGATGAGGGACGCGACAAGGCTGTAACCATTAAGTTAAGATCCTGAGTGGAAAGACTGTACATATTACGTATGAAAGACTGAAAGCATCCATTCCAAAATCCAACCTAATTCACGTGTTATTGCTACACGATCAACGAACTACAATACATACCAACGAAAGAGTAATTAATAAATAGAAAGAGAGGCGTTCGGGTACGACTCTTGATTAGCAAACTGACCTTCGGTGTATTGGGAGTAGGAGGGATTTCAGCATAAGGATTCTCCCGCAACACAGCGAGCTCGTTTTCCTTGTGTTGCACCTGTTCAATGTCCAAACAAATTCATAACTACAACGTACAACGGGGAAGCGCTTTCTTAGAAGAACTGGCCAGTAGGCTCCCAAAATACCACAGGTATCCATGTCGCCTGAAGAAATTGAGACTTTCAGAGAGAAACTAAGAAATTAAGACCTGTTTCTGCAGTTGTAGTAGATTGAGAAGTTCCCTTCGAAGCTCCAAATGCTCAGCACATACTGCGGCTGTTGGAACCTTGGGTTTGGACCGGACCTGGAGACTCCAATTACCCATTGATTAGAACTAACCCAACAATTGACTTGATAATTTCGAAAATAGTAGATTAAGAGACCTGGAAACCAGAGCTAAATGAAGGAACCATGAGACGAGCTCAAATTTTTGAACAGGAAATAAAGGCAAGCTGACGTGGAGGCATTACATTGTACTCCTCAAGCATCTGGTCGACGCGCTTTGCAATCCTCACTCCGGCTGGTGAAACTACGGAATGGATTTGTTGAGCCAACCATGCTCCTCTCAAGTACACTCGTGGCTGCTCCCACAATCCAACAATTATCAGCTGCTTAGAGAATATCATAATACATAGAAATTACAACTTGTAAGCTCACACAGCAAAATCGTAATTATATATATATATATATATATATATATATATATATATATATATAGTAGACTACTACTTCCAGAGAAAGAGCTTACTGGTCGAGGTCCAACTGGAGTAGGGGCAGCAGGGGCGGGTGCAGGTACAGGCGATGGTACTGGGACAGGAGTTGGAGAAGCGGACACGGGTTTAGGCACAGGAGTTACTGGTACAGAGGTCGTGGATGCAACAGTAACAGGAACAGACAAAAACGAAATATCCCCAGCTGCTGCCGGAGAAGGAGAAGGAACCCTTGCTGGTGTTGTGTCGACGTGAAGTGAATCTCTTATCAATACTTGAGTGTCTTCTAACCCCTACATAGATAAGAAACCACATCATATTTTTTCATGCATTTAGATCCAAAGAACAGCAAGCCAGAAAGAGCACCACAATAGCCATAAAAGCATCACATGGATCGTTTCGAGTACTCTGTCAGAATTATGCAGGTGAATGGGAACATAAACTACACGAACACGAACAAGACAAATACATCCGCACACATAGCCGCATAATCCTGCTCTGAAACCCTTCGGCAATCAGCTTGAATTAATGCTAACTATTTGACGTGTCTACTTACCTTTGCTTTCAGACGAGCCTCTGTAATACGCCTTGCTTCTGCAATAACCTATCCAACGAAAGCATATACCACGTGTTATACAGTTACATAGACGCCAAATAAATAAAGAAATCCGTTTCCAAAAACAAAACATTATTTATTTCTTGGTGATTCTCTCGCAACTGCGAAAATGAAAAATTACTGGCAATCAAACTTGAAGGACCTGAGCATATCAGCTATAACAAGAACTTTGGTGACAAGCATGCAAAAAGTTGGCATCCAGAATGCATGGACTTTCAGTTATCACATGAATAGAAAGAGCAAAACCTCCGCGTCTTCACGATCTTGCTGCCGTGACTGGGACAGGATAATATTCAATGCTTTCTTCCGATCGACTTCATGATTAACATTATAAGAATCCTGTACAGATTGATGATAAACCTCTTAGAGATAACTGAAACCGTTGAAAAGCAAGATTCACATGACACAAAACTCTGCATTCTGGTTGAATAGATAAACTTATAACGCAGAAAACTAAAGCTTCTGATTCGGAAATCACAACCTCACAGAATTAAAGCAACACAAACAGATAAACACAAATACAACCAACAGCTTCAGGAGAAGAAAGGTATGTGCTAAGCTCATAACCCAAATTTACCCATAAAAAGGTCGAGCTTCCTACCTTAAAAAGGGCATGGTCGCTTAGATCGTCGTTTGGACCTGCCCTAGCCTGAATTATAGTTTTGGCAGCTGCACATAGAAGACAATTTGGATAAGTATGTAGTAAGCAGCGGAACTGTCTAAGATCCATTTGACCACTCGGTGTTCAAGAGAAGAAACTTGACGTCATAGATTCAAGCATGTGACACGATACGCACTACCTTACCAGAGTAGTATCGATGCTTTAGCTCCTCTACTGTACGTGGAGGAGTAAAGCGGTCTGCTATGACTATAAACCTTAAATCGAACTGCTCACACATATCAAAGAGTCGATCTGTCTCTTCCCTGCTCCAATTCTGCTATCAAAACATGGAAACACAATTGCACGTCAATTTAGTGATTAAAGAAATTTAGATTACAATAGACTAATAGTACTCGAGGATTAGACAGGCTGGTAACTAGTACCGAGGGCCCCATTCACAAGACGTCGTAATATTGCAGAACATTTCCGACCAAAGTGGAATCTCAGAAAAAAGAACCAGATAAATGATATACCATTGATGCTTCAAGAAATGCAGGAGTGTCAAATCTGGCACTGCTTTAGTCCCCGTGCGTGTGTTCTGATCGTAATTGAGGCATTTCAAGATGCTTCAATTACGAAGCATCGGTATCTGGACTAAGTACAATTGCTACCGGCGTATCCTATAAATTACACTTTTCACAGGCCGTATGATGAAACTCAATGTTAACAAAAAGTTAGAAAGAAGACGTACCGGATCAACAAGCAACTGATTATACTCCTCGTCTGTGTAGCGCACACCATCCACACCCTGAAAACTCAAAAATTGTGTTTCTAATAGTTAGCACCACGCACCGCACTTTGAAGCACGAGGACATATAAAAGAATGTCGGACGTGTACGCAAAATGTACCTTGTTATATTTGGCAAATGCATAATCCCCAGAGGGCTGTGAACCATCAACAATTCGGACCTGTAAAATCAAAAACATCGTGAGTAAATTTCCACTTATCAAAAGTTTCAATTCCGCTAATTACGAAGGCTATCGCGCCTGAAAATGAAGACACAACAGTTACTGCAATGACAATAATAAAGGAATACATACACAGATAGCTTGTGACAGCGTTGGACTAGAAGGATCCCTGTGTATCTGCGATATGTACATCAAAGCAAGAAGTGCGAGAAAGGACAAGTGTACCCAATGATATAGTTGCAGATTGTCCGTGCGAGCTGATGTCGAGAAGGGGAGCCACTGCCAAGATATCTATAATAACAACCCCAATATGAGTAAGACGTATAATACAATCACAATACCTAGTCTCCACATTGATTCATTCCCCATAATAAAACTTAAGCAGCAGAACTGGTCGAGAGAGACGCAGGGACAATGCTAATTAACCTTTTTTGTAGGTGCCGCGCGCTTCTTTATGGACACTGGGTCCAACGTTGACATAATAGGCGGCAAACCGCCTGTGAGAGCATATACCTGCACAAATTAGGTCACTATCACACTCTTTGCACAGAACCTGCACAAAATTTTCAATCATCGCAGGTTCAAGACAACATATAAAAATGCTGCAAAATTCAAGACAACTTTTCAGCTCCAAATAAAATAATAAATAAATAAATAAATGTTACAAGCTTACCTCCCTGTGAATACCATCTGGCTTCTTGACTGCATCCTTAGGCGTTTTTCGTTTCTCAGTGCTCCCCCTCTCGCCAAGTTTCGGCAACCCTAATATGTCTTTAGCGTCCGCCATAGCGCTTTCAGAAATCCCCCATAGCGCTTTCCCACAACAGAACAAATAACCCAGAACTTCAGCTCAACCTCACCGCAAGGCATAGGGCGGTCAACCGACTACCTTAAGAATGATGCCAAATTTATCAAGCCAAAAGGAACAAAGAAAGCCTTCTGCACAAGGTAATACGCAACCTCTCGTTCTCGAGGCAACCTTTTTCTCCGAACCTTTTTCTCTGTTTAGAATCAGCCCTCGGTGCTTTCCTTAGAAAAAATTCGTACTAATCCCACGCTGTTCCGAGTTGTAGAATCCGATCACATGAATCAAAACTCGCAACTCTCCTGCAACCTTCCAGGTGCCAATGAGGACGAGCTCCGTTTGCCCTAAAACTAGAACCGCGACCATGAGGCAAAGTTTCGACGACGACGCAGCATCACAAGTCCAGACGGGAGAGACGAAATTCCCCCTCCATTCGAACTCATTGGGAACCGTCCTCGTCCTCGGGAACTCCAGAACATTACGCACCCTGTAATGGAGCTCATCTGAGTCATTATGCCGCGGAAGGTACGAGTTAAGTCCATTTGTGTAAATAGGGTTGGTGACTTAAACCACTAGCTGTATTTTAGTTTAATATAATCAGCTTTGAAATATTGAGTTTGACACTTAATATTTTCAAGGGTATTGTTAATGTCACGACAATTTTCTGTTATTATCATTCCAACCTGCCATCCACTTGATGCACATTTCTTGGCAATTTTATTTACTCCTAAACACTTTTTTTAAGCACTCATCTCTTAAGAAATGCATCCATCATTCTCTTCAAAACTCTCTATGTTACATTTCTTTCTCATAGAGATGGACATTGTTAGCACCTTTGCATGCCCTGATTCTTTGATTGCCTACATAGAATAGAGGAACCTTGTTGTAGGTTGTGTGATCGTGATATAACATTCTATTACCTCCTACTATAGCCCTTGAGTTTGGCTATGGCTATGATAGACTAAAATGTTGGTGGCATGTAATGGATGATAAATTGTAATGGTAGTAGCAAATTTTATGGTGGTATTAGCAATACTCTATTTATAGGTTTTTAAGACATTAGTAAGAAATTATTGGAAAATATCAATATTTCATTATAGTATTATCTTTTCAATTGTGGGATAAAATTTGTACAAACTTTACAAAAATAATAATAACGAGTATAATAAAATTTTAAATAAATGTAGCATAAAAGGCTATCTACAACTTTCGTACCTATGAAGGTTTGAGAGAAATATATACATATCTTGATTTAATTTAAAAATGATGATCTAACACAAACAACATAGAATTGTTTTTGTTCTTATTCATGTATTCTTAGCTTCTGTAGTCTTTTTTTCTTTATATCTTTCTTCTTTAATGTTCTGTGTGTGTAGAATCTTTTTAAGAAACATAAACTGGTATAAAAAAAACTTCTACAAAAAAATACAAAGTCATGTTTTGTTCTTTAATCCTATCTTTTTATAAAACCACACATCGTGTGTGACTTGCACTCAAACATAAACTTTCAGCCCCTTTACTCAATATTGGCCATAATCAATCTGCTTAACACATGATAAACAACATTGATACTAAAAATGACTCCTGAAACAAGGTATCACCTTTCACTCATCGGTAACAAGTAAGACCAATTTCCAGTTACCTTCAACATGTAAGACTCGGGAGAATCTGCATGCTATCGATTAAAGATGTGAGGTCTTTACTACATACATTTATCAGATATTCCTTTCAAGGATATTACTTGGTTACCACACAAAGTGCTTCAACTTATTATAGCTATTGAACAATCTTGGTTCATGTTTCACATGTCGCTTCTTGCACTAGTCTTACAGGATTCAGATACCGTTCTTCATGTTTGTGCAGCATTGAGAGTGTAATTAGCTGCAGTTCAGGACTTAGCTTCGATTTTAGCGTTCTCAGAGATCGACTGAAAGTGTGAATGAGTTTTCTGTATTCATCGCCATAGCAGGCTTTTACAGACTCTCAAAGGCAGAGTATTTGAGTTTGCAACCGCCGTCAAAGATGGCACAGTGAAGTCAGAGCCTTGCATAAAAATGTTCGTAGACAATGGGGTCTCCTTCAAATTCCATTTAACCACTAAATTCAAGTCCTTTTCAGGGTTTTGGATTGGATGGTCTCCTTATTCAATGTCAATGTTGTCATTCATGGATCCCCCACATGACTTCTGAAACGCCCTCAAATCATCAATACCACAAGTTAAAGGAAAAGAAACCACCCATTCGGTAGCAAGAGCGCTGTACTTTTCCTTTCATTTTTCCCAGTCAATACACATGTTTTTCCATATACCTGAGCTCACTATGTAAAAGAATGAATTAATGATAGATAGAAAATCTAATGAATGTATTCACTGCAACCACACTGAACAGATAATGGTTGTAGGAAACACAGTACCTAATTTTTGTTACTAAAATTCAGCCGAGTTGGGGGTTCTGGGAAAAGGAATGACATCGCGAATGTTCTCAATTCCCGTTGAGAACTGCACCAGCCTCTCAAAACCCAACCCGAATCCTGCATGGGGAACTGCAACACCCACAATTCCAGGGGTCTAAGAAAATATCTTGACCACTAAAGAAAGTCTCTGGGAAAACTGATTATTCCCACATAATATCAGTTGTTTTAGGAGCATAACATTAACCAACAAAAGCATGGCCTCTCTTCACTGTCTAATAACTTTCCAGAAACAGCCAGATATTAGTAGGGGAATTCCTATTGAAGATGTTTTGAAAAGTTTCTCATGTGTGAATTTTAGGAATAAAAAAATTTCAGCCAGGAATTCTCTTCTGAAGATCTTACCAGAACCGTATCGACGCAAGTCAAGATACCACCAATAGCTCTCTTTACTGAGTCCAAGCTCCTCGATCCGTCTCTCTAACACTTCTAGTCGCTCCTCACGCTGACTTCCACCTATAAGCTCTCCCACCTGAAAGCACAACCATTCCCATCACTGATTATCCTCCGTAGCTGATATTGAATAAAAGTGGTGCCTCGAGTTCAAATAGAACTGATGACACAACAACTGAGTAGGGCACACGCACCATCATTTGTACAGCACATGAAAGCTGAGGCCTGACAGGTGCCAGATGATAAGGCAATCCTCATTAACACAGGTCTAAGCAGTATAGCAAAAGATTAAAACAACAAACTTCAGTTAGAACTTCACTAAATATAAGGATTCGAAAGTACTAATGTAAGACGTACCCTAGGAACAAGGATGTCCATGGCTGCCACAGTTTTTTCATCTTCATTTTGCCTCATGTAGAAGGCCTTAATTTCCTGCTCCATGTATGCAGCAGAATTATTATCTCGTGATTTCACAAATGGACAACATTCAGTACTGCACTGAAAAACTTAGTGTGGGGTGGCCAGCTACAGGTGGATCAAAAGCAGATGCAATCATCCAATTGCAGAGCATGCAATGAACACTTCCAAGAATGACCTCAGTTAGCCTACTAAAATAATACCTTTGGGTAGTCAGTGACAATAACCGGATTACCACTGAAGGCCACTTCTGTGAGGTAACGTTCATGTTCACTCTGTAAATCAGCTCCCCATTTCACCTGCAAGGGTTTCATTTACGGTGCTTCAGTTGCAACACACCATCAGAGTGCTTTTAGAAGGCGCCCTAACATTCTTCCTAGTTCTATAAATGGGATGTGAGATCCCCATAACAGCTTTGTCAATCTCAGGTGATTTTCACAGGCATCCTCTCGTTTCCGAAATGAGGAGGAAAGTTAGGACTGACCGGAAATTCAAACTTCTTCTTAGATTTCTGAAGTAGCTCCACCGCCTCAGTGTAGGTCACGTGCACGAAGGGTTTCTCTACTACATTCTGGAAAAACCATCGCTGATAAATCAATATTTCTGCCAAAAGAATGAAAAGTGAAAAATGCACGATTCTTATGGTCAGAAAAGACCATAAACTGAAAGTTGATACGTATGTAGAGTCAGGAGAGAGTCAGATGGCGGTCGATTGGAACATACAGTGAGACGGGTGATGATGCCCTTTTCAACCCACTGGTTGAAAAACTCCAAGTCTTCCATACAATTATCCAAGACATATCTGACCTAAGGCATCCAATCATGCAGGAGTAAGCATCAATGATGAAAACTGGCGAAAGATAACAGGTCGCGGGTTAAGTGCTGAATTTAAAAGCGAAGCAATAAGTTGAAAAAATCCTCGAACTTTGAGCTCAGACTTTCTATGATGAAGAAAATTACATTAGTATATATATCATAGCACAATTAACATGGCAACGAGTATAAAGATACTTGACATACAACATACTGAAGATAGGCTGTGGCGCAAGCCATGTCATCTTTTAGGTCGGCAAATGCAAGCTCTGGCTCAATCATCTGCACTCAACATTTTATCCCAGCAAAACCGATCCCATCAATCAAGACACCAGGTGACCAGCAGAATTTGTAACCAATTGCTTGTATGGTGTGCAACAATCATACTAACTGCCACCAGGAATCAAAAAGATGATCACAGGCACTCGTCCACACTAGAATAGCTTTCATACCCAAAATTCAGCCAAATGCCGAGTAGTGTTCGAATTTTCAGCACGGAAAGTAGGCCCAAACGTATAGATCTGCAATACGCCGAGGGAAACATTAAGAATATTAAACGGCAGAATGAGAAAAGACATCAGTTGGTCAATTTTAAGGAGTAGTTAAGGTGAAATTACGTCACACAAAGCTGTGGCATACGTCTCTCCATTGAGCTGCCCAGATACCGTGAGAAAAGCGGGCTTCCCAAAAAAGTCCTGCGGTTCATTAAATACCCAATGTCAGATCTGCAGGGTTGGATGTACAACAAGCACAAGCGACTTGATAGAACTGATTGAACTCATGGCACATGCGGAAAGTGTGACTTAAAAAATGTCAAGGCAACAGATATGTTGTTAAATAATTTTATCAGATGCCTCTGGTCAGGTGTCACAAATCAAAGATGCTGTATTGAGTAAAATGTGACTTCGTTGGATATCACAGACAAAGTTTGTACGAACAAATACTAGAGAAAGAGTGAAAACGACATACCTGGGACCAGTCAATCAACCCGTCCTTGGTGGTAGGTACTTGCGATACAGGTGTTTTAGTGTCCTCGTGTGAACTAGGAATCTGTTGCACAAATATCAAGTGCGAATTAAAAACAGAATGATCATTTGTGAAGTTGGCTACGACCATTTAACCGTGTTGACATTCCCAATATTTCTTCTCAGAAATTATGGTTTGACATTTTTACTATTCAAGTGAAAGCAAACTACAGATCCCATGTTGACTATTTAAAATATGCATTGCAAGGGTACCAGAGTGGTAACGCAGAATTGTTCTCCAGCTCCTTCACAGTCAGATGCCGTAATGATGGGACTAGCCACCCATACAAACCCCTGCTCTCTGAAAAACTGATGAGTGGCATAGGCTAGAGCAGTTCGAACCCTAGCGACCTGCCACAAGTACACATTGTGAACAACCATGTATATTCAAACATTGTTCATAACATTTGACACGAATCAGTTGCAAACACAACGCCTGACAGCCAAGCACAACAAGTGAAAGGAAGATGTCTGACGAGGAGGGAACTTACTGCACCAAATGTATTGGTCCTGGGACGCAAGTGAGCAACACTTCGCAAGTACTCACGGGTCAGCTTCTTCTTCTGGATTGGGAATGAGGCAGGATCTGTACCTCCTATCTGCAATCAGATATTGTACAGTTTATGATAAATATTTCGCCCCTGAGCGCATTAAAGGCTTATCAATACCAGATCATGAAATGTACACACCGTGGGAGAAAAGAAAGGTGGGACAGCTTACTAGCGTCAGCTTTGTGGCTTTGAGCTCCACTTTCTGCTTGGCGCCTTTACTCTCGACAAGAACTCCTTCAACAGCCACAGAAGCACCCGTGTTGACCTGGCCTGCCTCAATCTGGCACCACCTGCCCAATTTAATTAATTGGACATCTAATCACTAAAAACATATAATGCATGTGGACGCAACCATCTCTGCCGAACAACAGTAGCCTTCATGAAACACTATCACTATCTACAGAGTACCTCTCCAGGCAGAAGCGGAGCATGATAATACGTACTTATCCCCCAATGAATAAAACATCATTACGTAAATAAAGAAGTAGTAGTAGTGGTAGTAGTAGTAACAATAATAACAACAACTCAGTCATCATTACATGGTCTAACCCAAAAGAAATAAAATCACACCATATTATATACCTTATCATAGCCTTCAACATCGGACAACACAACAGTCTGCAGATTTGATACAGCCGATCCGTCATTGACCTGCACATTTATTTGGACAGAAGCAAAGCCACAGGAAATTTAACATGGCTAAAAAGAGCGTAGCCAACCACACCAGAACCAACAATAAGAGGGAGTAAAGCAGAAGCAAGCATGAAATGTTGGTGGATTAGTATTATAAACCAACAAGTGCCACAATGAGTATGGATTTCCAAGTATGAATAAAGACCAAGAACAAAGTTGGAGAGCCAGAAGGCAGAGGAGCAAAGGCAGAGCCACTGGTTTAGACTGGTTCTGAATCGCAGTAAGATGAGCAATGAGAAGAAGAAACCAAGAATCAGTATCAAAAATCAACGGGGCATCGCATGTAATATAGGGTCGTGACGCAAACAAAACCACAATGTGCCTATCGCACAAACCCGAAATTCTCACACACGGGGCAAAACCCAAGGCACCAGCCACCAGACATCGACGAGCTCGAATTACCTCAATGAATGAGAAAGTCTTCTGTATTCTACAAGTCCGCACCCACCCTCGCACAACCATGGTCTCCCCGACGCGTCCCAAACCCCCATCCTCGCCACCTTTAATGTCCGCAATTCGCAGTCTCTTTCTAAATTCAGGCACAGACGACGAAGGCACAGGCTCGACTCCATCTCCGCCCTCTTTATCCTCCATAACAGCGTCAGCGGTCTCCATCACCTTCGACCGGACGCTGAGGTCACGGCGCACGCACGGCTCCATTTGGGGCGGAATTCCACCGAGGCCAAGCCTGGTCGAGGCAAGGACTCCAGTAAAGGGTCCAGCGCGACCACGCAACGAAGCTCCATGACGAAACAGAGACAGAGACAAGGAGGAGGAGGAGGAGGAGGCAGCGAGCGAGGAGAGAGGGGAGAAGGCGAGACGGCGAGCAGTGAAGCGGAGGCCCTGAGGGAGCGAGGACATGAGCAGACAGGGGCAGCGCGTGCACAGGTGTGCAGTCCCTACTGCGGCGCCCGCCATAGCTCCCCCCTGCGTCACAAGAAGAAGGGTATCAAAGCACAGAACAACAAGGGAAACAGAAAAGGAGAGATGCAAGGGTGCAATGCAGATTAGCAGCACCACTCACTCGCTGAATTGCGCACGAGAGCAGGAGCTCGCGGCCAGCGCCGTCTCCGCAATCGAGCTCCTCTAGTAAAGGAAGGTAGGAAGGGAGGAGTAGCCTGCCCCGCCCCTCATCTCCAACGGAAGGTCCTCCTCCGTGGATGAACGCGGTCCTCTCTATGGATGACGCTTTCTATCTACGTTCATCCATAGTTGTTGATGAATGACTTCGTCTATTTTTGTTTCTGTTCATCCATGTGGTTCTTATTGTATCACCGTGCCTGCTTGTTTCGTGCACCGTAATGGAAAGCGGAAAGGAAAGTGAAGTGGGAGATGAAGAACTAAGACATGCAATTTCATATTAGGATTTTATTTTTTATTCTTTTATTCTTTTATTTTTTTCAATAAATTTTAATTTTTCTTTTCTTTATTTTTTATTTTTCTTTTGAAGATTATTTAAGAAGAAGACTCTCTTCATTATTTCTGGTCTTCAACAACCTTGAGCTATCAAAGGATGTTGGATTAGTAGTGGGAAGTTGGCGGTTTAAATCCCAAGTGCACAATTTCCAAGTCTACTTGAAGGATGCTAATACTGTGATAAGGATTCTCTAATGTTTCCAAAAAAAAAACAAACAAACAAACAAACAAACAAACAAACAAACAAAACAAAACAAAACAAAACAATTTTTGAAAATAAACCAAATTGTTTGGCTTTAGAATATTTTGCTGGTACTACACATTATTAGTATGGGTATAAAATTTTACATATAAATAAGTATATATATCTATATATATATATATATTTTTCACACATATAATTCTTTATTAATTTAAAAAAAAAAAAAAAAAAAAAAAAAAAACATGTTTAAGGATTTCATTTTGAAATTCTTTTGCATAAGTAAATATTTCTAACAAAATTACAGAAGAACCAAAACTCATATTTATATATATAATAAAATAATTAGTCAAAAATACATCCTTAGAAAGATAAACAAGCATTTTCAATAGCTAAAATAACTAATTCACTTAGACATATTTTTAGTGAGGTGTTTCTTGAGACTCCAAGAATCTCATAAAGAATTTGCATGTAGGAGGAGTTTTTTAAGCATAGAAATGGCATTCTTAACATAAATTTACTTCAAAAAATTCACAGTATGAAATTAACATATTTACATGCATTTGCATAAGAGTGTTGTACACATTGTATTCTATAATGCATTGCTTTTAAAAGTGATCATTATTAGTGCATTAAGCAACATTTGTTTGCTTGTGTTATCAAACTTAGTGTTTTTACAAGCATTGTATGTATGCACCACAAGTCTAATTGCAAGAATTGTGCAAATGGTTATTTATTTGGGGCATTATATATTCTTTTAAAAAATAGTATGTTTATATATTTTAAGTTAGTTCTCCAAATATAATAAAAACAATAATAACGAAAATGGACAGAAATAAGTTGTTGTGTAAATTGTACTTTTCTTTGAGGTTGATCTATAGTATTCATATCAAATTATCAATAATTATTATTATCATTATTATTTTAGATTAAGATAATGCACTTGAAAATCTATAATAGATGTATGCTATTTACTATAATATAAGTGCATAATTTTCCAAGTAGAAGGGAGTGTTGAAGATAATAATCTTTAAGCTCATTAAGCTTATTATTTAGAAAAATTTGTAAGAATCGGCAAGATATGCTATCGCTTGCAAAGAAAACTAGTATAGACAATTATACTTTGTTGTTGAAATTACTCATGTTTTATTCTTTTTTAAATATGATTTTTCATCTTTATAAGAAATATATTATGTGTGTTTTGTACAACATGTTTTCTTTGAGAACTTACTAATCTCTTAATTGCATACAGAAATAAGAGCTTTTTCACCCTTTGTAGATTGTTTGCTTTAATCAATAGCATGAAGTTGTATTCATGGATTTGCAAAAAGTATTATTCTAATTCTTAATATGAAGATATTTATTAATATTAGTCCAATTTTTTATGCCCTTTAAACTTATAATAGTATATCCATGCATCACCAATTGTATACATAATATTTTGATTAATATCACTTATTTAAACTTATTATATTTAAATTTTATAAAAAATATAAAAAAGAATTGGCTATTAAAGTCTCTACTTCTATTATTCCTAGTGGTTGTGTAAAGAATACACAATAGACCAAAAAAATAAAAATAAAAAAATAAAAACAACAACAACAAAAACAAAAATAAAAAATTATGTAAAGAAAATAAAATAAAAGAATCTAGCAATTTTCTTGCTATATCTTTCTTATGTCATATTGACTTGGTTTAAGATTAGAACCAATTCTATCTTTAACAATTCATGATCTAAGTCACTTAGATCTAAGCTAAAACATCTTAATTGTAAGATCTATTATTTTATATATTCTTTATTGTAAAATAATGTATTAGATCTAAACTAAGGTTTTTAAAAAATATGTGATTTTGTGTAGAGATTAGTTAAAACGTTTTATTATAAAATCAAAGATTTGGTCTAAAGAAATTCATTCTTAGACGCCTTTAATCAAAATTATACATATATATGATTGAAATAGATGTTTAAATGATTTTAGATAAATATATTATTAAGATGATTTTAAAAATAAATAAGATTTATTTAATATGTATTAATTGTATTTTATGTGATTTTATGTGATTTTATTATTTATTTTTTAGAATAATTCTTAGATATTAAAATTTATCTAAAGAACTTCACAAGTTTTATTTTATTTTATTTTATTTTTATTACTTCTTCATGTATTAAATTTAAATTCAAATTTAGTTACAAGACATTTTTTATTTATCTATTGAGTAATTTTTTTATTGGAAGTGCTTATTTTTACCAAAAACTTTTATGGTCCATTGTTTATGATACTTAAAACTACATTAAGTTATAACTTGATTTAAGAACATAAATTAAGAGTGTCATGTTGCTTATTCAAATAGTTATGTGTGACTAAATCCTCTTTACTACTTTCCTAATTTGATTAGCACTTGATCAATTGTATTTGTATTGTTTGAAATACACTATCTTACAACTTGTAGAATAATATCAACTTTATTATTTTTTGATTCCAAAGACAAAACTAATAAAATCTTCATCAAAAAACTTTACTTGCATGAGACACAAATGTTTTCCTTTAAATAAAATGTCGTATTAGAATTGTTGTATTATTATATGTTATAGTGTATTGCAAACATGCCCATATCCTTGTTTAAAAATTTAAACTAATATTGTACTTATATTATTAGGATTAAAGAAAGCACATGAATTTCATCAATTTGAAATGACAAAGAATTTAGTTATAGACTAATAATTCAATTTTTATTTATTAGTGTAAGCATTTTTAATTATTTTTTTTTATCTAATACAATAAAATACACCATTGTGTTTTTTATAGACCTAGTGAAATATTTTTATTATTCTATTATTAATAATATCATTAGTTTAAAATGTAATGTACATAATTTACAAGTTAGACTAATTTTTTTTCTTTTAAACAATCAAACTTGTATTTCATGTATTATACAATAAATGTGCACAAAAGAGTACAATCAATTTGAAGATATAATATCTCAAAATAATTAATTTCAAACAAATGAATGAATATATATATATATATATATATTTACACACACACTATATACATACACTGTATTAGATGCTAAATTTTCCCCAATACTCATTGTAACAATGCATTTCAAATTTCTATTACTTTTATACTACAAATACGTTTACATTTGAGTGTGTCTATACAAAATCATGGGTATTTGAACACTTACAAATACATCGTAATGTACTGAACTGAAGTTATCGTTTCTGAAAATAGCATTATGTACTGTACATGTGTGTGGAAATTGTATGACTCATACAAAAACACCTCAACCATTATTTATAAGATTTTCAAGCTGATTTTGAATAAAGTAAATGGTTTAAAAAATGTTACGACTCATTAAAATTGATAATGGACGAGAGATAAAACTCCTGTAGTGCACCCTGCCATTGTAAATTGGACGATTACAATGAGAATGTACAGACACACAAATTCATACCTATGATATGTGGTCATTATGAAATGAGCCTCTCTATGACATTGCTTTCCAAGTAAAATTAAATTTCCCTCAGTAGAATCCAATGGTTTTAGAAACGAAGTTTAATGAGCGATATCCTAGTCCGATCATAAGAGCAATACAACTTACACAGCTAAGAGCTTGAAGTCTACCTGAAGTTTAAGAGAAGCATGCCTCAAATAAAGAAGGCATGGAAATTTACAATTGAGGTGGCTATCAATAAAGTAAATGATTTTTGTACAAAACAATTATTCCAGCTGAACCTATAAAGGCTTGATCATTCTAACGCCGCCCACAACAGAGTGCAGGCAAACTGCATAACACATCGTCATAAGCACCATTGCTTTGTCAATTGCGGCCTTCGTCACATCCCCAACAACCTGCAGCTTCTCGCCTACCCCTAACCTTCCGGGCATCTCGTGATCTTGATCCTTCAAATCTTGCTCTTTGTCTTTTCCACTCAGGATAGCTGAAACCTTGTCCAAAGAAACATCAATCATTGTCCGGACACCAGAGGAAGTCATAGTTCCCACAATGTTCAGAATCAACTCTCGATTGCTAGGAACAGCAATCACTTTTGAGATGTGTTCGATGTAATTTGGCGAAAATGTTTCTCTCGTTCTACCAACGGACTTTCCTTTCCATTTAACCAAAGAGTGGCTTGGAGATATTAGTTCTTGCTCTCCCGTATCATAGAACACTTCCGAGTCTTCGTTTTCGTGAGACCTGTCACCAAGCTGTGGATACGAAACCGATACCTTGTCACCCGCGTTATGTTTTGAGCTACTGGGATCCGATGTTAAGATTTCATGCGAAGTGCGCACAAAATTACCAGTCGACACATTACAAATAGTGGTCAAAAGTTCAGTGATAGGACCTTGATGTTCCGGTTTCGCCAAAGTAGCCGCGAATTCATCGAAGGCATTAATATCTTTTGTCCGATCCAGGTATACAGATACAGCAGTTCCAACAAAGGTCTGGATCCAGTCTGTCAACAGTGGTTTGCCATTAGGGCTGTTTGCAAATTCAAGTAAACCCTTGACAAGCCCATCTCCACTTCCAATCCCCTCGTTGCCTGGCAAATTATTAAAAGCGTTGAATTGCTCCACAACCGAAGCCACGAAACTTCGAGACGCAGATGCCACCACGATCGATACGAAGCTCTTCCCAGATTCAGAAAAAAGTTTCTGAATAAGCCTGTCTACTATATCTTCTTTGCCACTCCGTTTACTAGAACGAGTCTCTACTTCATTATCGCTGAAGTTGGGACTAATACCTGCCTCTTCTTGCAAAGTCTCCTTCACGCCCTTCACTATTGATGAATCAACCTGCGTTTTCGCAGCGTCAAACACGTTTCCAGCATTGGTCCAAGCGTGGTCATATAACTCTTCCTCGCACTCTATCGAAATTTCCTCCGCATTTTCGTTGCATTCTCCTGGTGATAAAGTCCTGTCATCGAAAGAGGTAGAAGCAGCTCCAGACTCTCCTTGTGAAGTAACAGTACCTTTGCCATCCCACTTAATAACACTTTTAGTTTCCTCTGAAACCCCACGCCCACTTGGACTGGTTAATGTGCTCTGAGGACGATGTAGCCTTCGAGGTTGTACCTCGTGTTTAAGGCTCACGGCAACAGGCGCACTACTGATAAGTGTGGAGAGAAGACCACGACTGACTGCAGCCGAGAGAGCGGTGATACTCTCCTGCGCCTCACGTGATGCAGCGACTTTTAAAAGCTGCTTCAGAGTTTGAGGCACCTCGTCTTCTTCGGAAACCAGAAACCTGTGTAGATCGCTCAAAACCGCAGCAAACGTGCTGCTCCCTTGAGAAAGAGCTTCAAGGAGAGATGAGAAAGACTGTAAGAAAAGAACGATGCGAAGCTTTTTTCGAGGGTGATATATACGATAGGTCATATAGCCGCCTGCTGCTACAGCACCACATGCAAGAAGGATGTTCCTACTGCGACGAGAAATTTGAAACATTGTCCTCTCCACGAGCTCCTCCACCAATTCTACACGTTACATTCCCTGGAACATGACTCCTCCAACGCAATTCACCACTCCGCACAACCAATGTTTCTTTTCGCTTCCACGTACCCACTTCCCTGTTAGTCCTTCCGGCAATTTCCCTGCTCGCTTACATCTCTCATCCTCAGCCTCTACAGCTCGCTTCTCACAGCCAGCTACCTATCAATAAAAAACCAAAAACAACGCATAACCTTACAATCTTTCGCCACGCTCAAACAACAAAACCATCCACAACCCTCAAGAACGGCTTGCTTCACATGCACAGCAAGGTAGTCATCTAATTCACGTCAAACCGAAAGCAAACTAGCACAACCCAAGGTCCAAAAGAACTCTAACCATGATAGCATCTCTTGACACTCAATCCCGCTGCTACAACTCTCGAAACTTTCATGAGACGTCATCCCAAACTGCGCACCCGCCTGGCCGCAGAAACACTTCCTCGACCTCGATTACTGACTCGAATTCACCTTAGTAAAACTGAAAAAGAAATTGGTTCAGAGAAAGAAAGTTATGGCACGCATCATCCATGCTCCGAAGAGATCCTTCCGTGCTCAGCAGCGAAAATCCACGCAGCGAGAGCAGCTCCTTGGCTATGGAATCCAACAGTGAAACCCTAGAACAAGCCGGTGAGAGAGGTAAGTCTAATCTGCTGGATGAATAAAATTTGATGAATGATGTTAGGTGTGAACAAATGTGGTACTCATGGATGATCTCCACCGCATTTACTAGTCGATGCGGCGAATGAATGTATATGGGGATGCGCTTCGTGGATGAAATAATATGGATGGAAAAGGATACAAGAGAGATGCATCGGCTTGTTGCTGGATCCCAGGCGCATTCCCCTGAACTAGGCTCCTCTCTTTTATGGTTTTGGATAAGCTTAAATTGGACGTGAACTTTTTGTGCCTGTGTTTGTGGATCATCCTAGCACCATTGAAGAGCTTATCCACAATAATTATAGTACTAACAAGATACTATAAACAACAATGTATGTGTCACACAATTGTGAAAATTGAGAAAAAGGAAATTGTGTGTGTTATTGCTATTGTTTCATCTGTTCAGTACTCCAACACACAGTACACAAATGTATTGCATACTAAGATATAAAATGTACTAATTCTCAATGAAATTAAAGACTCGGTTATAAGCTAACTGTCGATGTTTAATCTACGATGAGAAAATTAGGAAACTAAAAAATCAATGATTCGTGTGTAATTGTAGCAAGTAACATGAATGAGAACAGTTTAAATTTATCGTTTCTAGTTATAAAGATTGTGTAATATTGACTTCGTAGATGAAACATAATCTGGATTTCAAACAAAAAAGATTATAATATTTTTAAAACTATGTGTTGTTGTAAAAAAATTCCTTAAAACGAATGGATATTATGCACAGACAATATCAATGACAGTAATGTGATTAACTGAAACTCAGTATTATATTCTATTCTTAAAATTGACACTCTATATTTTATCTTAATATGATAAGGAAGATACAATTATTCATTGAAAAAAACTTAATATAGTGCATGAGGAAAATTATTTTATATTGATGTTTTAGAACCTAATTTAAGCTTGAAGTGTAAAGTTCATCTAATTGTGCAAGGCGTTTTATTTAGTGATCTAAAAGTGGGATGCAGATGATTGCCCAAGCTCCAAAAGTCAAGTTTCACAAATTTGAAAAAGTCATCACACTTCTTTCAGTAAGAACATTTGTAAAATTTAGTTTTGACAAAGTTACTAAAGAAATAATTCAATCGAAAGATCATAACATAAAGATATCATTTATTGAGATACAAAAGACACATATGTGAGCATCAAGTAGTACTCATATAAGTACAGAGAAACATACAATTCATGATATTGGAACATTCATGTTCCAACACCCTCTTTTATTGCAAAATCATCTATGATGGAGGATATCAAAATGACAATTATGCGGCTAAGATTGTAAAATCTAAAACGAAGTAGACATTTGGAAAAATGAAAACCATGAAATTTGTGTTTTTATTTTTGTTGCTGGCGATGACTAGTGTTCTCTTACAAATGGTAAGGTATACTATTTACAACATCTTTTGTTAGATGATGGTGGTTACTTTTGCAACCATATCCTCAAACATATACACAACAAGTAAAAGTGAGATTGAACCTTTGTTAAGCACTGAGGGTAAATCTGAAGGTTCTTCATGTAACACTTCTTTCATTTTTTTTTTTTTTTTTTTTTTTTTTTGTTGTATTATTATTGTAAGTTTGTTTTTGTGGTAAGTGTCGATGATAAGATCCTCAATTAGGAAAGAAGGCGGTGGCAAATTTCCACGAGAGTGTATTCTTCTTCAATGTATTAAGTTTTACATAAGAATTACTCTTGGATAGTCCACTAAGAGAGGATGATTCTTCACAAGAGTTTTTTGTGGGGTAGTCGACCAAGAGAGGAGGCATTTCATCATGTTTAAGATATATTTTTTTTAAAGGTCTCATTGTATGAAGAGTTGCTTAAAATTGATTTATCTTGAAGTTAGTTCCATTTTGAAACTTTGAAATACAAAGATGATTCATGTGGGATTTTTACTAAAAAAATACTCTTTCCAAATTAGAGGTAGTGAATGAGGTGGAGAAAGAGGTAAGGATTTTTGTTACAAAGGAAGATGTTTTATAAGAGAGTTTGTAGCAAGTCAAGGATACAAAAAATTATATGATTGGATTGCTTTTAAAGATCAAGTAGAGAGTGATATTGCGACAATTACTTCAGGAGCCAAAAATCAATAATAATATATTTTAATTACTATAAGTAATTGTGAGCTCTTAATTATACTCTAAAATTTAAATTTTTATTATTTTTCTATTTTATGATAATTAAATATGTTAGATTAGGATTTATATAAGTGGAATTTAGTTTTATAGAATTTTTAGGATTACAATCCTTGATGGTATAAATTATGGCCTAATTCCTTGAATTATGTTAATTAGAATTAAAGTGATAAGAGTTAGAAAATTAGAATAGCAACTTAGGTAGTTTAATAATTTAGAGGTTGTTAGTCATTACTATAAGAGTTGACTAAAAGCCTATGAAGGCATCTATAATCATTCACATGATTTAGGAGTTGGAATTATAATTCTCTAAAAGATTTAGAGGAGTTAGCAATGATAATTTTGGATTTTCTTCCAAATTCGATAAATTTAAGCGGCATGGTGGTTCTTCTACTTAATGGGAGTCCTTTTAATGCAATGGTGGTACCGGATTTACCTCGTGGAGTGAAGAAAACAAGATCAGCAACCTCTCCTTCAAAATACAAGAAAAGCAATGAAATTCTCATTTTGAAGAATTTCACAAAAATTTCCAAGATCCTTATAAGTAAAAACTTCCGTGAAAATTATAATTGAGCATGGATTGAGGCATGTGAGTACTCAATCTTAGCTTAAAAAGGTGTTTTGAACACAATAGTGAAGTTAGATTTACAAAAAAAATGCTTCCTTGACTACTTACTAGAGCCATCATCCTTGGTAACGAGATTGACTCTTGGATGAGTGAAGTCCATATATCTAGATTAGAGATCTTAAAAATCAAGGGTGAAGATGTAACCACTCTTCTACCAGCCTCCACTCAATTGTATAAGAGAGGTTTGGTTTTCCAAGCCCTCTCTCTCTCTCTCCTCTTTTGGGTGAAGGGTGGAGCCATACCAAAATTTGGCCAAAACCCTAATCATAATTTTATTTAGATTTTAATTCTCATTGTGAACCTTGTGATTGTGTAGGTATGGATTTTGCATTGTGAAGGATGGTCATTAAGTTTTAAAAAATGTTTCATTGAGGTAGATATTTCATCGGCCTTTCAAATACCCCAAGGGTTTCAAGGGCCTCGGATTTTCTTCAATCAGTCACTCAATTTCTGTTGTTTCAATGTGAGATTCTGAGTAGTTGTAGCTTTTGTTGTTAGCTTTCCAACAAGATAAGACTTGCTTGATTTGGAGTAAGAAAGAATTTTTAGTGAATTTTTGAGTTTGAGGGAGTCGACTGCCTTTGCAGTTTGAATCAATCGAGTTTGGAAAGGCATTTCTCAATGCCTGGTGATTGGATTTATTTGAAATTTTGTGGGAATCAAGCTTTATAAGCTAAACTCTAAAAGGCATAAGTTTTGTTGAATTTGAAGACAATCTGAATTTTTAGTGAATTTCTAAGTGAAGAGAGTTGGTCACCATGGCAGTTTGGATCATTCAACTTCAAAGGAGGAATTCTCACGACTGGATCATTAGATTGCAATGAAGATTGTTGGATCAAAAGCGTCTTCAAGTCAGCCTTGCAAAAAGCTAAGAATCATTCAAATTGAAGCCAATTACAAATTTTGGCAAATTTTGGAGTGGAAGGGGGTCGCTGCCTTCAATCCTTATGTGTTGTCAAGGTACCTTCGCTTTCACCTCTCTCACTTTATTTTTACTACAGTGACTTATAAGCTCCACATTTCACTTTTTGGCTAATATATTTTAAGTTTAACTTTTAACCTTTAATATTCTCACTTTAACTTTTAACTTTAACTTTTAAACTAAACTTTTAATTTTAAATTTTTACTTAATCTTTAATATTTACTTTTAAATTAACTTTTAACTTAACATTTTAATTTTAATTTTTAACTTAATCTTTTAATCTTAATTTTTAACTTTAATTTTTTTTAACTTAACTTTTAATCTAGCTTTTAATTCAAACTTAAGTTTTTATTTTTATGATCAATTAATAGTAATAACTTAGTTAATTATTTTTATTGTATTTACAAAGTAAATTTCATTTAACATGTTAATTTAATGTTGGTAACCATTACTTAGAAGGCCTAAAATTAATTGAATTTTTAATATAAAGATTTAAATTAGTCTAATAATTATACAATTGGGAGCTCTCTAATTCCACTTCTTGGACTTGTTGTATGGCATAGGTTTCATTAAGTGGTGAAATTTGGCCTCACAGTAATAATAAAAGTGACTGAAGAATGGAGGCATTGAAAAATTGAAGTTGAAGAGAGTAGACCTAATTTAGTGAATATAGAAGAATTAGATAGCTATGTTCTTTTTTCTATAACTCCTAAATATAATGGAATGATTGACGCATAATATTATGAGTTTGATTTAGAAGAGAAAAGAAGATGGATTTTGTTATTAGATTTAAAGATTGAAAGAGCAGCTTAAGATTTAGGAAGTGTTGAAGATATGAATTGTTGATTTCATGTAAATGAAGTTAGTAACTGAGATGTAGCTAATGAAATAATATTAAATTTAGTTCAATTTTTTTCAAATAGACCACATTCCAAAGACTTGATAAATATATCAACTTCTTGATTTAAGGAAGATACATATTTTAGTCAAATTTTTCTATTGTCAATTTTTTCTTCAATGAAGAGATGGTATATAGAGATATGTTTTGTTTAAAGATTGATATTAGGATTAGTGGCTATCTTGATGCTTCTTTCATTGTTACAATTGTGATAACATGTTTGGATATAGTGAGGCCAAAATCATGTGTTAATTTTTCCAGCCATGTAGATTCATGAAATGTTACTGAGAAGTCCATATATTCTATTTTGGATAAGAAGAGGGCCTTAGTGGCATACTTCTTAGACATCTAAGTAATAA